TTTATCCATTTGCAATCATTACTGATTTTGTTCATACACTGTAGTTTAATGTTCATGTGCATATACATGTCGTTCACCAGGGACCCTCCACGGATTTTTTGTATCTCGTTTCCGATATCGAGATTGTTCATCATTAATGTTCCATCTGAAACAAAACAGATTTTTTCGTAGATTTTGAAGAATCTGTTCAATCTGTTCGAAATCTTCAACCTTGTACAGTAACAAAAGAATGTCTCATGTCGTGAAACTTATTTTGCATTTATTAGGCCTTCTGGGTGGAAGTGGTGTAGCGGAAAGTGGCGCACTCTCAAATATGCATGATCACGGATTCAAAACCTGGGTCGGTATCCGCTCAAGCCAACGAAGGTTCCCATCTCTCCAGGGTCGGTCAACTGATATCTGACTCTTCTGGGATGATAAAAACGCTGGCTTGTACGTCGGCTGGGCACTGCGAGTCATTGTATGGGCCACATACGCATTCAGTATGCACTACGACTCTGAATTGAGGTCGAATGCGGGTGCAGTCCTCAGGCGGGACTGAGTAATTTCATCCCTAATAGATCATCAGTCCGTGAAGGAATCCAATTCCAACAGCAAAGACTTACTCAGCAGCTAACAGCCCACAGTTATCGTATTAGTTAGCGGAGCCTTGGGGACCCATCCAACTGCTAGATGACAGTGTCTGTTGGTTTCGATATTGCTAATGTACTATCTTTTTAACAGTGCTTCAATAGATGAAAGCTATCTGATCTGAGTTTGTAGTTGAACTCACTATAGATTCCATTTTTATAGGCTAGCACCTTGTTAAAGATCCTGATCACTTCTTTATAGAGAGCGTCGCTGAACCATTCGTTCACCTTTCTCAAAGTTTCATTTTTATGGGCTTGCTGTAATAAATTCCATTAGAGCGTAACCACGTTTTTATTACCATCCAAACTCAAGTTGGACCTTAACCTACTTCAACCAGTAATGGGTCCCCTATTATCCATAGATTGTCGATGGTAACATTGATTCCAGTAACTTCACTTAATTTTTTTAGTAATGCAACAACCTAAAAAAGATTTTCCATTAAAGAAATCCGATGATACAATTCCACAAAATATTCTGAAAAAACAGGATGAACAACAATAAGCAACTATAATTTTTGCAAAAACAATAAGATTGGTGAGAACACAGGCGTAGAAAATATAGCCACACTTAGCTACCAAGAAATTAGATTTTCTACCGGTTTGGGATTGTAAAGCTATCAGGTTGGTGAATTTGACTGAAATTCGATTATTAGACCTCAGATTTGAAATCTATGATCCCGACGATGACATGGAGAGGGGGGCCACAGTAAGTTTTCATAGAGTCCTTATAAAACTCTCAATAGAGCTTATGGAATGTTCAGAGAGGTCGCTTATGTCAAGGATCTTCCGAACGTTCTAGTAATTGATGAATCCCAAAGAGAGGACAGAATAAAGTACTTGAGATTGATCAATCCTCTTGCCAGAATAGGTCCATGCATTTGGCATCCATCCAGACAGAATGGAATTACACTGAAGCCTGAATGTCTACTTGGCCCATATACACTTGCAAAACCAGTCAATGGTTTGATTCAACCTCTCGAATCTGCTTTTCGCTAACCACACTGACGTCAGGGAAGATTCTTTTGTCTAGAGGACAACCGAGTCAGGATCCCCTTCGTCGTAGAGCAGCACCCGGTAGTATCCCATGTGGAACAGGTAACGGAGATGGAGCTTATGTGAATTATCGCCGCTCTGGACCTACCTAACAAAACCTTCACTATTTTATTTTCAAATTATTCAATATCATGTAACAGTTAATTAAAAATGAACTATATTCACTATGCCAGTTCAAAATTATCGTGTCAGTAGTTTAAAATTATGGACATGACAAAGAAAAGTTATAAGTGCTATAAGCTATAAGGTGAGAGGAATTGAAATCAATTGGGAGGGAAAAGGGGGATATATCTCAAAAGTTAATTAATTATCTAGCAAATAATTGA